TTTAATTATAATCCTTACTTCTAATTCCCTCTAGTGTCCAATTTTTCAAGTGCTATTGTATTCTTTTTTTAAAAAAAATTAAAACAAAAGAATTTTCTTGCAGGAAAGGTTCTTTATAATTAATTCCAAAATCTTATTTCAAATTTATATGGATTTTGGGTTTGTTTGTAACTTTCTAAAATCAAAACTTTAATCACATTTTTTATTTATTTTGTTTATTCCATTTTTTAAAAAAATAATAATTCTGTAACCTCTTTTGCTAAGGATTGAAGGAAACTCACTTGATGCTGTAAAACCTGTCGATCCAAGGATTCCTAATAGCTAAAAAGCAATTAACAAGCAGTTTTAGAAAAGGAAGTGTCATTCTGAAGGTGCTGCTGTAGTTTGAGCAAGATGGCTGTTTCCTTGTCTCCCAGAGCTTTAAACCTCTTTGGCACACTATTCACAAGGAGCTGCTGTCTGGAACATTTGTAGATGATTTCAAGTCCTTTCTTTCTCTGGAGAGAAATTATCGAAAAGCTGGTCTACCGGCCAGACCTTCATTCCGCTGCAGTCATTGGCTCCACTTTTCATCTTTCGTTGTCTGTCTGCCATTTCTTCCTTGGAAGTCCAACAGAATTATAAATGTGACAGGGTACACATTTGTTAAAAAAAAAAAAAGACAAAATTTAGGAAAGACTAATCATGCTATTGTATCTTGGCCAGAGTTAATTGGGTGGCCTATAAATTTAATAATGTATTAATATTACTATTACCCATTAAATTATCTGCTAAATGTCAAACCACAGCTTTATCTGCTCTAGCTACTCTGACCAACTTCCTCTTGAAACCTAACCACACATAACCACATAGAAACTTTATTTTGTAACTACTTTCTTCCAGTGCTTGCTAAATATTTACTTAAAATATTTATTAATATTCAAGTGGGTTTAAATTCTTCCACGATATCAGTCCCATAGCCATGCTAATGTTCTATCTTCATTAATGGCTTCCTTTATTCTGTTCATCTTTATGGAAAACCATTTATTGTCAATTGGGTGAACAGCTAATTATCTGCCCCTACATCTTTTTGCTGTACTCTGTTTAACTTATTACTGCATTCTTAAATCATTCATACACAATTGGAAGTTTATCTTACCTCTTGACTTCCTCCTTAAACTTCTCCATGCTCAAATAAAACTCTAGGTATTATTTACAGAGCTGCAGAATTATTGACCCTGACTCCAGAGAGGAACTATGCAGCCTCATCATTCCAACATCCCCACATAAATCTCCCTATTTGTTGCTCATGTTTGCCTATGCTTAAAGGAGTGACTCTAAATACGTTGAGTGAAAGATGTTTTTATACAAATAAATAAGCCTTTAACAGCCTGAGAAAAATTGAGGAAGCAAGACTGTTCCTGCCATTTTGAATGTCTACGTTCAGCATGATTGTGGCAAAACATCCACTGAAATTAAAATTTCCTTTCCTCTATAACAGAAGGGGAAACCTCATTTTACATTCCAGAAGAGATAGAAGACGCAGTACTGAGGCAGAGTAGTTAAGGTGTGAGTCAACCAGCTAGGTCTTGTTCTTGGGTTATGTTCCTAGGTTTTAACTAGAGAGTGAAACCACCTTAATCTATTTCAAGGCTTACATTACATTTTCATGTATTTCCTGTCTCCTGCCTTTGATTTTCTGTAATTATGACTAGAAGGAATGTGATCTTTGGAAAAATGAGATTTGGAGGCCACATGTGATCTTGAGGCTTCCAGTTGCCCATCTTTGCTTTTATAGCATGCAGCCAGCAGTGGATGGATTGCCTATGGTGTCTCAGTGATCACAGTGCATCTTTGCTTTTCTTGTCTATCTTCCAGTTTCTCTCTTTGGACTGCTGGAACTCTGCTAGAGAAAGATTACTTGAAAATCTCTTGTTTCCCCTCTTTCTGGTATTACTGTGTTTCCCCAACCACCATGTCATTCTTTGGAAATGCTCCTGTTCAGTTTTGCTGGAAGAAAAGACATACAAAAAGAATCATTCTTATATCCCCTGTTTCTTAGCATGTCTTTAGATTGCCAGGGTATGGAAGGAAGACAGGATGATGTTAAAGAGTGAAATCCCTAGACTAGCTACAGGAATCGGTGCCCTAGACAAACCCATGAAATCAGTCCCTCAAAAGTACTTGTAATTTTTTTTATTTGATTTTGATTTTATCCCCTGTTCTTTGGCATCTTACTTGAAACCCAGGTCATATCATAGATGGACCACATCTGAATTAAAGCTTCTCCTCCTGAGCCTAGTGATCCTGATTAAGAAGCCCAATCCTCTACTCTTGCAACAAGCTCATATTGGGAAAATAATTGTTTTCATATTGCTGTAGGCAGAATTGTTAACAAAATCTTTGGAACAGGAGGATTATCCTTCACCTCATTTTCCCCAAGGGGAAAGCAAGACTAAACCTTCCCCAAAGAATTCTGAGTATGATAGTGATGTCTGCATGAACGAAAACAGATGTGTCTGCGGAGATAAGAGGAAGTATATACAAGTTATGTGTGAAGATAAGGTTATGTGAGAAATTGGAAAGAGAATTATGTTATGCTTCACCCATATGTTTGTGCAGTTCTACAAGAACCAACAAAGAAGTATAAAAAAGCTCTGCTCTTTGTGTAAGAAAAACAGTGCAAAATACAGTTTGAATCTTTTTTATATATATTTAGGAAAATAAATAGAAAATAATTTTCTTCTATGAAAACCTATCTTACAGTATGTAAAGATATAATTGGTCCCACATATCATTCAAATAACATGTAAACATATCATATTGTGAAACAGAAATTAATCTAAGAATTATAATGTATACTGTAAGTCTTCTGTTTATATCTTCTGCTATTTGTAAACGATTGTGAGTTACTCAACTATGGTTAAAGAGCATTGAATAAACCCAACCACAGTCTGGTTTTCCAAGCAACCACTTTTTGTAACATTTCGCCTCAGAAACCAAAAAAGAGTAAAGTAGGTTGCACAAAGATCTCTCTGATAAACTGAAAGACAAAAAGGACAAGTACAAAAAATGGAAAGAAGGACACATAACTAAGGCAGAGTGTCAGTAAACAGCCCAAATCTGCAAAGATGAAGTCAGGAAAGCAAAGGTTTAGAATGAACAGAGACTAGCAATAAAAGTCAACGATAATTTTAAAAAAGTTTCTTTCAACATATAAACCTACACCATCTCAGACAGGTGATTGTCTAGTCTAGAGCCAGTTTGATGTGGTTAAGGCACTCGGCTAGAAACTGGGAGACTGCAAGTTCTGATCTCAGCCAGCTGGGCAACTTTGAGCCAGACCAGTGTTTCTCAACCTTGACAATTTTAAGGCATGTGGACTTCAACTTCCAGAATTCCACAGCCAGCAATGCTGGCTGTGGAATTCTGAGAGTTGAAGTCCACATGCCTTAAAATTGTCAAGGTTGAGAAACACTGAGCCAGACCCTCAGCCTCAGCCCTAGAAAGAAGACAAGGGCAAACCACTTTGGGAATCTTGCCAAGAAAACAGCAGGGACTTGTCTAGGGCTGTGGAAAATAACTGGAAGAAGTAGAAAGTTTTAAAATAAAATGTAGATACTTTTAGCATCATCATGTAATCATTGATTTGATATTTTATAATCATTATTTTATAATCAACTGACTGAGTAGATCCTTTATATATATTGGAAAATTACAAGCCTCAAATGAGGAGAGGGGGGAAACTGGTGTTACTAAGGGGTCTGGTATGAGTCATCATCTAGGAATTGTTTTTCTGTACCCTTTGGTGCCTGGTACCACCACCTGGTTTGTAAGGTGTAAGAAGATGGAAGACATCTTCTCTCCAAGATTGATGAGCATGTACATATATGGTCTTAATAAACAAGAGAGGAGAAGAGGGATCTTATTAGTATAATGTAAGCAAACAGGGGCGGAGATAATGTATTCTTGTTAGGCGCTTCTGATAGATTGTAACCTCCAAAGCCTATGCCAATGGGACCATGGGGGAGGGAATGGGGCGTTGTGATAGGATGTATAACAGTGGTTCTCAACCTTTTTAATGCCGCGACCCCCAACCGGTCGTAAGTCGAGGACTAAACCGGTCGTAAGTCGAGGATTAAACCGGTCGTAAGTCGAGGACTAAACCGGTCGTAAGTCAAGGACTTTCCCTGCCCGGGAGCGCCACGCATGCGTGGTTCCGTCCCCTGCGCCGGCCGAGGTGTAGCTGGCAAGCGGCAGAGACGGAGCAGACCGACCACCAGCTGGCCCAGCCCAAGGGAGGTAAGGCACCTGCCGGAAAAGGGGGGGAAAATGGCGGACAAAAAAAATGGCAGACAGCCTTGCTTGGCGACCCCCGTGAAATGGTCGATCGACCCCAAATGGGGTCGCGACCCATAGGTTGAGAACCGCTGATGTATAATGTGTGATTCTGAAACATGAGTGTGGTTCAGCGTTTGGCTATGTTGCATCACTAGCCTTCCTGAATCCACCACACTTTGTAAACCGTTATTGTTAAGGTTAATAAACTTCTTTTCTATTTGCAACTAAAACTGAGTGAATTTTAATTTGTAACTCTTATTTTGTGTCCAACAGAGCTAGGCAGTCACTCGGAGTTAAAACTGACTTGAAGGCATACATACACAAAATGTTTCCATTAAGAGCCCATACATCAACAAAATTTTTCCATTGATATTCATGTATGCCATTTCTCATCCGTTTGTTATTGTATTTTTAAGCTTCCTGACTATTTTGACATTCAAGCAAGCACAATCAGTGAAGACTTCAACTTAACGGCTATCGCTGTGCTTTGGGGGAGAATGTCCTAGCTGCAAAGAATACTTTTACGTTTGGCAATCTAGAACGGATCAGTTGTAACAGCCGCGGCGCAGCAACAGAATCAAACCGCTGCGTGGGTGAGGAGTGCGGGGTCAGGCTGACCGGCCACGCCTCTTTCGCGGGCCACGCCCTCTAGAGGCGGACCGCGGAAAGGGGCGCGATGGATGAAGGTGCGGTGCTCCCCCGAGAAGCGCGTTCGGGAGAGGAAGACTCTGCGGATCCCTCGCGGCACTGCCGCGGGTGCTTACTCCAGAGAAGAAAATGGAAGCGAGAGCAGCTAAACGGCAGTTTCTCTCAGCCCCTGGTGAGTCGGGCAGGGCAGGTCAGGGCGTCGTTTGCCCGCAGTAAAGATGGTGGTGTTTCCTGTTTTCGCTGTTGCGGGAGAGGATTCCCTTGATTCTAGTCGCTCGTTACAAGGCGGCTTCTGGCTGTCCCGATTCTCCTTTTGCCGTGTCTGCCGGAGCCCTCGGTCTCGCCTTCCCCGAGCCGCTTCTTTTCTTGCCGCGTTGTGCGGCGATAGATGCCGGGGAGGCTCGCAACCCGAGCTCGGATTTCCCGACCAGCCGAGTTTGGCGAGCGGGGAAAGATCCGTCCTTCTGAAAACACGCGTGCGGGGATTTGGGAAGAGAGGAAAACGCACTTCTGAAGCGAAGTTGCCCGGAGTGCCACTTGAATGCTTGGTTTCCCTCTCGCCCCATAAGGCGAAGCTGCGCGTTGTCTTCGGAAATCCGAGGAACTCTTCCCGACCGATTGCTTTTGCAGCTTCCTTATTCAGGGGTCCCTGTGCGTTACTCCTCGGCTCTCGGGATGGGGATGTATTGGAGATGATGTCCCTGCACTGTGTTCTCCTTTTGAATCCCGTCTCGGCGCTTGATCGTGTTGCGCTGTCCTCTTGTCCCATTTTAGCCCCGAGAGCCGGCTTCTCGCCAATACCGAAGCAGACCTTAGAAGAGCCACTGGAAACTGCCATTCGTTTGTCCATCTCACCCAGTCCTATTGGCCACTGGACTGAGACCCCTTCCCTGTCGCCTGATCCGTTTAATTGATCAGGGGTTGAAGCTTGTAAAATATTTGCTCTGCCGCGTAACTGTAGTAAATGCCCAAACGTCGGCTTAAAAAAAAAAAAACGGTTACAATTTAAATGACAATGGCCGATAACGGTAAATGCCTTAAAATAGTCCAAGTGCTGTTGACAGATTAAACATGGAAAACTAGCCGAACCTGAGTTCACCGTGTGGTTCATACAATCTAAAATTAAAAGAATTGGGATGCAGGCAAGCAGTAACTTGACCCCATTGCTTGAAACTGAAAGTTGATGACTTTCAGTTTAGAGGAAATCCGTGTGGATTTCATTGAACTATTACTATTATAGGTAATAAAAATATTGCTTTATTTCAGTCTTGCTGAAGATAGGGAGGAAAATTGGTGAAAGTAACATGACTGTCGCTGAATCTTGCTGGGTTTTTTCCCCTTGTGATGAGGAAGTTATGTGTGTTAAGTTATGATGTAATGTAACTGATTTACAATCAGGATAGCAAAAAACAAACTATCTTAAGAAATAGAAGAAATGGATGTTGATTACATGCAAATCCATGTAATGTCCATATTAAAACATATAAAATTGTTATATGCAGACATCTAGATATAAGCTCTCAAGATTTCCCAAGCCTATGCAAGTAGTTCTTGACCTATTACCACAATAGAGCCCAAAATTTTGTTTCTAAGCAAGGCAATTGTTAAGTAACTTATGGTGCATTTAATGACCTTTTTTGCCACAGTTGTTAAACAAATCACTGTAATTGTTAAGTGAATTGTGTGGTCATTAAGCAAATTTGGCTTCCCCCATTGACGTTGCTTGTTGGGAACCATCTGGGAAGGTTACAAAAAGTGGTGACATGACCCCTGTCGTAAATACTTGCTGGTTGCTAAGAGTCCAAATTTTGATCATGTGCCCATGGGGATGTTGCAATGGTCAAACCGGTCAAAAGTCCCTTTTTCAGTGCTGTTGTAACTTCGAACAATCACTAAATAAATGATTGTAAATAGAGGACTACCTTTATCATTTGCTGTAAAAAAGAAAAGTCATCAAATGCATCACCATGAAAAACAATCTTTGCAACAGAGAATTGACACAAAATAAAAACAATAGTGGCCAAAGTTGTATGTAAGATGATTTAATAATACCATATTGACCAAAGTTATTAATTCTGTAATAAGATCTTGCTAAAATTGGCAGCCCTTGGAAAGCAGTGGGAGTTTAAGCTGCTTTGGAACAGGTGGAACAGGTTATTACTGAGTCTGATTGCTGAAACATGACATACCAGTATTAAAATATATTCAATTGTTTGCCACTTCACTTCCATTCAGTTCCAATTTTAGTATGCTCTACAAAATGAGTGGCTCCAGATGAAGGTCATTCTGAATGTGTATAGTTTTGGTAGTGATTCTAATTGTTTTATTTTATCTTACATTGAATATTTGTTTCTATTGATGTGAATATGTTTTAAAATATTTTGAAAGTATTGTTTAAGAAAACAGGGATAGAAATAAGTATCTTTCAAATAAATAGTAACTACCGTGTTGGAATTACACATTCCAGAATTTATTAAAATTATCTGGCATAAATATAATATTACCATGCCAAAAGATGAGTGACTATAATTCCCAGGGGAAGGCCTTCATTTGCTACCTTCTTCAAATTAATACAGCTAATATAGCATTGTGCTGTTTACTAAGCAACCTTCCTATTACGATACCCTCAAATACAGTGGTGCTTAAAAGTTTGTGAATTCTTTTGAATTTTCAATATTTCTACATCAATATGACCTAAAACATCTGTTCTCCACACAAGTCTTAAAACTAGATAAAGACAACACAATAATATATTTGTTCATTTATTTATAGAGGAAAATGAGCTCTCAACCCATTCACCCTTGCTGCAGTCTTCATTTATTCTCTCTGTATGATCTTCTATCAGCTAATCACTTACTTTTGTATTCAGGACATATCACCCATTCATTCTTGGCCCCCCTTCTTGTTTTCACACACACACACACACACACACACACACACACACACGGTACACCTGAATTTAGACAAAAGGTAGAGAAGCCAATACAAATAACTGCTTCCCACTGTAATCTTTTTTGTTTTTCTTGATGTACCAAACTCTTATTGTTGTATAACAAGGTAGAGATGCACACATTTATGCTGTCTTTGTTTCTTTCAACAGTTTCTTTTAACTGTGAACATTTGCATATCTTAAAATTATTCAATTTATTTATTTATTTTTAGAATATGGCATATCATACATGGACTAGCAATATATATTAATAATTCACCTAGATTAATAAACACAATAAAATATAAATGTTAAAAAGATCTACGTTCAAATATCAATGCCTAGGCCATCTAACCATTGAAGTGCAGCATCGTTTATATTAAAAATATCAGATACTGAACCAATATATGCCCTCAGCTTATAGCCAGTCACAGTGTGATCTACAGTTTGACGTGGAACCCTGCAGTCACATTGAGTGGAGGATACTACACCCCATTTATACAGTGAGTCCCAGCAGAGGTGTGAGGTGTGAATCTTATTTAGGATTATTTCAAAGCCTGGCATTTTTTTATGGGTCTTTTGTATGTCTTCCTATGTCTGGGCGTTCAGCAACCCATTTCACTTTTCATCGGGAATTGATGTTAAAGTTGTTGGGCAGATGTTGTGCAAGTGCCGGTGGGGGCTTCCTGGATTTGAGTCTTCTGACTGATAAATGAAGAAGGTCGGCATGCACTGGTAGGAATGAGTTGCTCATATTTTTTCTGTATTCTCTCACTAGTGCATTGTGCCTTCATAAAGCTGGCAGTGCTAAATGGCTCAGAACAGGAAGCCAGCAAATCGGAGTGGTTTTAATACATCCGCTTATAATCCTCATAGTGTCATTGAGTCTGGCATCTAACTTACTAGTATGGCAGCTATTAAGCCATGTAGGGGCACAGTATTCTGCTGCAGAGATCAGTCCTAGTGCTGATGACCTGAGGGTGGCAACTGAAACTCCCCATTTAGTTCTACATAATTTCTGGAGTATGTTGTTCCTTGTATTGATTTTTGCTGCTGTATTTTCTAGGTCAGGGGTAGGCATCCTTGGCTCTTTTATGACTCGGTGGACTTCAACTCCCAGAATTCCTGAGCCAGCCACACTGAGTAGAAATGGAGAGGTTTCCATGCTGAGCCATGCTGGCTCAGGAATTCTGGGAGTTGAAGTCCACGAGTCATAAAAGAGCCAAGGTTGCCTACCCCTGCTCTAGGTGTATCTGGTAGGAGAGAATCTGTTACTCCAAAGTAATTTGGATGGGGATCATAGGGGGGTAATTGTTGTTTAAGAAGACCTTCAGGGCTTCATATGCTAGTTTGTTGTTAAGGTGGAAGCATGTAGTTACTATTTTGCTAGTGCTAGGAATGAGCCTCCAGTCAGTGAATAATTTTCCCAAGATTTTAAGATCTTTGGACAGTAAGCTGTCAGCCACCTCCATGTGTTTTTCTGGTACTTCTATGGCCAAATAATCAGCGTATCCAAATTTGCTCCCCTTATATCCGATATGTATAAGTTGAATAGTATAGGTCAGGGCTTTTCAACCAGTGGTACAGGTACCACCTGTGGTACATTGGCACCTGGCAGGTGGTACGCAACCATCCTAGAAAAGTGGTAGCGGGGGAGGGGAATGAGCTGAACCGGTGGCAGCACCGCACAAGCCTAAGCGAGAGATGGCTGGAGCTGCAGGGCTCAGCGGAAGCGCCAGGATCAATGCTGCTTTCCAGCTGATCGGCGCTTCTTCGAGACTGTCAGGGCTCAGTGGAAGCGCCAGGATCAGCGCCAGGCTCTAGCTAGAGCTCGGTGCTCATCCTGGTACTTCTGCTGAGCCCTGAAGAAGCACCAATCAGCTGGAAAGCAGCACTGATCCTGGCGTTTCTGCTGAGCCCAGAAGAAGTGCCGATCAGCTGGAATGTTGCAGCATCCCCAGGATATTGTGATTTACATTCAGATGCTTGGCAACTGATTCATATTTATGATGGTCACAGTGTCCCAGGGTCATGTGAAGTAACCAAAACCTGCTGCAACCAGCCAGCAGATGGGGGAAATAAAAACCAAACACCCCACCCCCGCTATTTTTTTTTTTTTTTGGTCATCAAGTTTTTGACACCTTGCTAGGCGACTGGTGGTACTCGGATATTGACATATCCTAAAAGTGGTACAATGAGTGAAAAGGTTGAAAAGCCCTGGTATAGGTGACATTACAGAGCCTTGTGAGAGGCTGTTATGTTGTTCCCCCATTATTATCTGAAAGGACCCATCACTCAGCATATTATTAATTAGTCGCTAGAGATTTTTGCAGGATAATATGGCACAGTTTGTATAACAACCCATCCTTCCTGTGTCGTCTGCCAGTTAGGTCTATGAACACAGCTGTGATTTTAAGGCCTTGTTGGAATCTTGCTTTATAGGGCCTGTTAGGCTTAGTAACTGGTCTACACAGCTCCAGTCTTGTTGGAAGCTGGCTTGTTCCATGGGCAGATGTTTATCTATTATGGGACCTATCCTATTTATAATTAATTGTTCTGGGAGTTTGTAGCAGGAGCTCAAAAGGACGATTGGGTGGTAGCTTTCAACTCTGTCTTGAGGTTTGCCATGTTTTAGAAGTGATTATTTTAGCTTTATTGGATTCTGGTGGGAGGCAGCCATTGAAAACTATATCTGAGAGGATTTACCAATAGGATACAACAAATCCATTTTTACTGCTCTAATTTTTGCAATTGTTCACTCTATTTTCCCTGTCAACAGAATATTTTAGCTTTCAGTAAAATAATGTTCAGATTCATACTTCTCATTGATAGTATTTCTAACAGCACTATTAGCCTTCTTTCTGTCTGTCTACCAATCATCTATCAAATTTATATGGCCACTCATCTCGCAAAAAGTGACTTGATCCATAATAAATATAATAAAACAACTAAGAAATTATCAACTGTCCTTGTCTCACTTCCTGCTCAATGTTAAACCACTGCTAAAGATGCAATTTATTCCCATCAAAATCATTGCATTCGACAACCAACCTTCAGGTCCATACTTGCACAATATATTCTATAACTTAAGCCTGTTAACTACCATGTATTTTCTCCATATCATACAGTAAAATTTCATTTTTTTTCTTTCTGATATTCATACATGGTATTTCTCAGAGACGTACTAGAGAACAAAGATGTGGTCTACGCTTTCCTTTCCTTACATATTAAAGCCACATTGCATTTCACTTCTTGAACCCTTTCAATCAGTATTCTGCCAAACACTTTCCTAGGCTCATTTAAAAGAATAATCCCTAGTAGTTTTGCATTCATATTTGTTATGTTTTTTTCTTGTGTAAGGTAATAACATTGTTCTTCCAATCATTAGGCACAGGTGTAGCCATCATCCACACATTAAACAAGTTGTGCTGAATTATGTCCAGATTCTTGTGTTTATCCAGTGGCACTTCTGTATTTATATTTATATTCTATAAATATGTCCAAGTTTACCATTTTTAACATTTACAAAGTAATTATGATTTCCTTTTCATCAAATATTTTCTTGGACACTAATTTTAATAGTATTTATTTTAGTTCCACTTTTTAACATATTATTTCCATATAGATTTCTAAAGTACACTTTCCAGAATGCCATTACTTCAATTTAATCTCATATAATTTCATCGCTTTTATGTTTAAATCTAGTCACTCTTCACCCCCATTTAGCTCTTTTTCACTTGCTCCGCAAATATTTTTTTTATTTCCATCAAAATTGTTCTACATTTTCTCAGCCTCTTTCAATCTTAGCAGTTCCTTGCTTTCTTTGACAACATTCTTTACAGCTGTTTTGTCTATTGACACATTTTTCAATATTAGCTTTAGTTGCACCTGTGTTACTTGCATTATTCCCTACTAATAGTAAAGAACTTACTAGTCAGTTCTGGCACATTTGGACCAAAATGACACAAGTGCAACCAAAGCCTGGTTTTATCCTTAGTATGTTTCATGCTTTCTAGGCAAGCTAGGATATCTAGAGACTGCCTTACAAGCCGGCATACTGTTGTTTGTATTTCACCAACTAGGAGGTTTGTATAATGTGCCAACACTCAGGATAGTAGCTATTGTCAAATAATAAGCTATTATCAAAACAATCAGCTATTGTCAAAAAAGCATCCAAAGGTGCTTTTTCATGAGGCAACTGGACTTTCTTGTTTTTCTTTGATGACATTTAGTTTCTTGTCCAAGAAACTTAATAGTTTCTTCAGCTTCAAAGAAAAACAAAGTTCAGTTGTCTCATGAAAAAAGCACCTTTGGGATAACTATGTCCTGGATGACAGAATCTGCATAGACACTGGATTAATATATTGGCACTCATGAGTGTTTTGGCTATTTGAAACATATTACTATAACACTGTTATTATGGGGAGGGGGGGGGCTTATAATAGGAAAGCTATTTCCTTTGAGAGTTTGGTGAGTTAATATGAAAAAGAGTGAGGCAGTTGGAACATCTGAGAATTAGTAAAATAATCCTCCCTTCTTTTCTTTTTGTGCCTATTGCAATCAGCTAAATGCTTTTAGAGATAGCAAGTACAGGAAGGAGTGGGTGGTAAATAAACACTGATGACCCTGAGACTTAACAGTCTGGCTACAGTACTTGGCCTTTATTCCCAGGCAAGGTCATCACACTTGTGCTTTCTGCATCTGTCAATGAGCAGCCAGAAAATTAAGGAGGAATCAACCATTTAAGGATAACCCATCTTGTCTAGCACTCTTAATATGTGTGTTTTGCTGCTTTATAAAATGAATTGTAAGCCATGCTGCAAATGTTGGTATTAGCAAAACGAGCTGCTACTCATTCTGTAAGAAATCTCCCATTTGAATCCATCTTGTGCCCAAGTGGTAGATCAGGACCTTTTATTTTGAAAAAGGAGAAACCAGTTTAGCACACTGATTTCTTTACGCTTTAAAATGCACCCTCTGTAATTTTTCATGCTTCATTTACAATTACTCTTCTTTCATTAAGCAAACACTGAGATTTGCAACAAAGTGTAGCAGTGCATAGTACTTCCAAGGGCATCCTGTTCCAGAATCCCAAATTTTCCTCCTTCCTTTCCCCAATCTCTCAATTCTCAATTTTTCCCTTGAATAGATAGCATTTTAATTAAACACGCTCAGTCTTTGTTGGGCTGCTTTGCTCTTTTTCTACTCCCCCCCCCCTGCTTCCTTCCTCCCCAAACGTTTTCATCTTAAGCAAACCATGATATTTCTTAGGCTTACTTCTACTTGTCTCTTTCTTGTATAAGAATGATAACAGGTGTGGATATGAGTATTTTGACTACATAAGGATCCACATTCAGAGAAACAGTTAATCTTATAAGACCAGATTATATTTTATTATTGTAATCAAAAATCTCTGGAGACCCTCAGTTTTTCCAGTCTCAGGTGGTGAATACAGAATTTGGCATTTGCATTTTCTATATTTCTCTGTATATTTAAAGTTTATCCAGGATTTTAAATGTGATTTTCTCTTCAGTAGTGTATTCTAATAATCAGAAAACTGATTGATTTTCAAAAGTTTGAAAGACTAGGGAATGGGAAATTGGGGAAAGTAAGTTAAGATCAAAGCTGTTGGGAACGCCAGCTAAGAGATAAGTCAGAGTGATGGATATTTTCTTGCCCAGTCAATGAAAATTTGCAGGTCACTTTTCTGCCCCAAAGAAATTCCGTTGACCCATTAATTCTGAGGCATCTTTCAAATACCACAAGATTCTAGCAAGAGGAGTTCAAAAACCTGAAGAAGTGGCAGTTTAGCAGGGCAGTCTATGCCTTTTTTTAACTTCAAAGAATCATTTTTTCCCTTCAGCCAAAGGTCAGTTCCTTTGAAGTTAAACCTAGCCTTTTCAGAGACTAACCAATATAAATTTATTCTGAAGTCCTTGAATATATTTGCAAATGTTAAGAACAAAACAAACCTGGGTGAAAAAGAAAGGGATTTTAACCTCATCAATTTGCTACTTCTCAAAGGGTATCTAGGATCTGTGTCTTTTATTGATTGCTTCATGATGCATCTATCACAAATATCAAATATATGCAATTCTATATAAAGACATGAAAACCCTCCCTTAATAAACCCTTTTTGCTTTGTTTGAAGTAATTTGTATTTGGGAGGGAGGTGAAAAACTAACTTTGCAAGAAGTATTGAGTCTTACTCAAATTCAGGGACTAGGTTCTTTCCAGCTCCATGCCAATCAGGTGCCTGAATTTCATAGGCAATAACTATCCCCACGTGAAGCTGAAAGGCTGTGCTTAGGCAGCAGTGTCCTCAATACCTGGGCTGAAGCAATAGTATTACTTCTGCTGATGTGTTAAGCTTTTCAGCATCCCTGTACAACAGGGATCTCCAAACTTGGCAACTTTAAGACTTGTGGACTTCAACTCCCAGAGTTCCAAAGATCACAAATCTTAAAGTTGCCAAGTTTGGAGATCTCTGCAGTATAAGAAGGAATTATTGTGGTTTTGAGTTCCTGTTTGCCATTCTGTGTAATGCTCTGATAAATTAATAGGAGGGGAAGCAGCTGGCCAGAAATTAATATATAAGGGTTTTCTTTATTTCCCAGATTTCCTGGAGAGTACTTGTTGCTGCATCTAATCTGGCTCAAAGTCAACAAGAGTCTCAGTGTTCAAGTGAAGACTTGAAACTATATATGCTTCTTTGGATCCAGTCCAGCATTTTAACTACCTTAAATAATCTCCTCTCCCCTGTCTCTCTTTGTAGGATATTATTGATCTCACTGGAGAAGACATAGTTGTGAGAACAACAGCATGCAATGACTTGGAGATTATTGATCTTACAAAGCCTGAGGAGGTCATGATCAACTCCCTCCAGAACCATAGCTGCTTTGCCTGGGACCTGAAGCCGTCAACTTCAGTCTGCCCTGAGCCCATCTGCTCTCCTAATGTTCTCACTCTTGTTGATGCTGAGAGCAAATGTACTGTGCCAGTGACCATGTGGGTTCAGGACCGTGAACGATCTTCCCCCAAAGTAGGTGTAGGAAAACCAGACTACCTTCCAAGTAACAGCTTCTTCTGCCATTCCAACTATAGTGAGGAATCTGAAGGCAGCAGTCACACCACTTACAACAGTGATTTGGGCTCTTTGGAAAGCCCTCAGCTGGAATCTGATGTTTTCTCTTTCTCATCAGGTAATGATGGTACTGAACGTCCAATGCTCTTGGACTGTGTAGAACCTCCCCAGGCTTGCTCATCTGAAAAAAAACCCAGCTTACGGTTCTATCCCCTGCCTCAAAGACTATCCCCAAGTCTCCGCTACTCTTCTTTGAACACTGCCAGATCTGTAGCTGAAGCTGATCAGCTTTTGCACCAGGCAAAAAAACCACGGCATGCCATGGAATCAAATGTTCAGGAACAATCCAAGCGGACTGATATCAAGGTCTGGCTGAAAACACTACAGTATTGCCATGGAATCCCTGTACATCACCCCCTTCTTCAAAATGTGGTGGAAAAGGAGTCACGAAAGGTAATTTGCAGGAGATAACCATATCCCAAGCAGGACTTTGAAGTCCACCTCAATCTGGATTTTAAGAGTTTTAAGACTCAGAATAGCAGTGAGATACACTGGCTCCACAACTCAAACTTGCTTGCTTTAGATTGCATAGTTTGTTTGCAGAAAGCTATAAGGTTGTCCAGCTCAAGTGAATTGATAGGATTACATTTTCTATCAAATAAAACAAAATATGAGAAAAGTCATACTTTTTCATCAAAAAGTCGGTGCCACTTTAAGTAGATGCTGACATGGTGGGAAACATAGCCATTTTGGAAGGCAAGTTCTTTTTTGTTATAAATATTCTTGGGTGTAAATATAGTAGGTGATTTTATGTACACACACAACTGTTCTACTGAATTTGCAGGTCCTAAGATTTAGCCTTCCTTTCTATCCAAAGCCAATGGTAGCATCAAAGCTGTTTGCACAGCTAAAGAGCTTTCTTCCAGTTGCATTACATTTATCCCATTATTAAGGCATAAGCTTTATAATCCAAAAACAGTAGAATAATGTTTTGCCATATGATAGAGATGGAATGGAATAGATCAAACTGGAACTTTCGGCCATCATCCCCAGACATTTGGGCATTATGTTACAATCCCACAGTTCAAGGCTTTATTAATAAAAATTATGAACATTAAAATCTCTTCTCCAAAATGTAGCTTATAAAAGCAGAGTTCCTGTCTGATGTCATTCAGATATCATCTAAGCGAAAATGTGATTTACTTGGTTTTGGCTCAGTATGTTATGGAAATTCAGCCAACTGTACTAGTCCAGTAAATTACAAGGAAATAATTTACGGGTTTGCACAATGTGCAAATCTATCAAATCTCAACTATCAGGTGATGTCTTATTACATTCTGGTTTAACTGTTTGGTTATAAAAACAAAACAATCTCACCTCCCCTAAGAGCACAAAGTTCACATTAAAGTACAGATAGCAACATGTTCTAATAAATGTCATCCTAGCAGTGTATGTTTCTTCCTAAATCATCTTCCTTAATCAAGTTGTCAAACAGAATCTCTGGCTTGGTTATTAAAAGGTGGATGGCACCACATTAAAGAGGACAAGGCTGAGACCAAGCAGGTTGTAATAGCCAACATCAATTGAAGCTTGAGCCCAACAAGGCTACATGCATGTTCAATCTAATGCACCCAGCATGATAAACCAGAATTGAGATCTCTAATGTGGGCCCTGTGAGCACCTCCTTTAGTGCTTGTCAGAACACTATACCACTCCACTCATTAATTTCATAAAGACTGTTGAAAAAGTAAGTACCAGCCTGTTTTTAAGAGTCCTTGGAGTCCATATAGATCTCTTAAAAAATAAAAATGGTGAATGGTTGCAATCCACAGCTTCGTTGATAAATATATCTAATGCCCTGAAAAAGATCAAATGAAAGTGATGAGTATCCTAGAGACAGCAGCATCTCCACAAGCTACAATGATATTAAAATAATACATGTGAGATAACATAATTATGCAAATAGCATGATTATGCAATGACATGAGTTTTAAAGAAAAGTACAAGAGTCATGTCATTTGCTTGATGATACCATCATGCAGGTATAGTCATTTCTTCGCCATCCCTACCCTCCAGCTATACATACCTATAGGGTGCATCAGGGAGTCATATCACCAGCCAGCTAATGGATATTGTATGTTATAGCAACCTTTTGAAAATGGACAATTTTAACCTCCATGTGTGTGTATTTGGGGGAGAACCTATGATATGTGTTTGCTGCTCCAAAAGAGGTTAGGGATCACTGAACCACAGCACACATTTTATTGTAAAGAAGTGCTTAATATCACAGAACTTTCAGTTTCGTGAAGAGGTTCAGTGTAGGAGCAAATACATAAGTCTTGCAAAGTTTGAATTAGAAGGTTTTTCATTTTCAACTAAAACTGAAAGAAATATTCTAACCAATGTCTATAATTTTGTGTGTAATAATCAAAAATATTTTCAAAAATGTGCAAACTTAACAATACAATTATCTGAAGTTTTTCACCCCATGTAATTACTACCAGATACCGTATGCATGTTGATCTTCCTTTATGCACAGGATAAAAGACTAAAAGCCCAACCTATTCCATTCCGGAGATTAAACATGGTGTCCAGCACAATTGAAGAGAATTTTTTTCAGGGAACCTTGGATTTCCTTATGGACTATGTATCTTGTAAATACTACCCACCAAAAGAAGTCACAACCTATGTGGTCAGGCAGATTTTGCTGAGCTCAGAGCACCAAGAGGGGCAACAGGAGATACAGAAGGATGCTTATATGTTGTTGATGAAAATCCAGGCGTAAGTGTTCTCCCACTCCAGTTATTTGGTAGGATTTTGTATCAGGCCATTATACTTTCTTAGCTTTGTGGTTGTGGTATCAGTTAAGATCATAATTGATAAGGCAAAGTTTCATTCCCATGGCAGAGGTTTTCTTTGATATTATTTCTAAATGTCATAAATGCCAGGGCTCTGAATGATTAGGTGTCCCTGCCCTAAACTGAAGGGATGTGAGCATTAATTTTGCTTTGTTTTGTTTTGTTTTTTTAACAAATACAACCCATAAGGAAACAACAGATTCGTTTTAATTTGAAATGTACTACATCTAAACTGTTTAGCAGAAAGTTTTGACAAATATGTGATGATATAGAAAGCTTAATTCTAATTTTTAGACTTCATCCAGCAACAGCTGATACAGTGGTGTGGGACTGGCAACTGCTAAGTAAGATCATGGAAGTACAGGTATGTTGATGAGCCCCCTTTAGATGAGAAGAAAAGCTCAGAAACTGAGCTTTGTAAAAAATCCTTAATGTGTAAAAGCAAACAGTCTGAATCAAGCCAATAAAAACAAACAGTTTGAATCAGACCAGTCTGCTCTGAAGGTACAGCAGAAAAAAGCCACTGAGGTATTATTAGTAAACCAGAGTTTATTAAGCAATCTATCTCGGAACCACATGACTGTTCTGAAGGAGGAGCTGAAATGAATTAACTCTATTTTATGTGGTTTTGATGCAGCAAAATGCTCTGCTTCTCATATCTTGGGCATCTCTACATGTCCCTTGTATTCAGCCTGAAAACCCTAATTGTTCTTGAAAGCTATCTCTGCACAATGTAGCCTCCCTGTCATCCGCAGCTCACAGTCCAGCCATCCAACCAGGTTTTCCTGAACCAAAGCTGAATTATACTTTTCACCATCTCTCAATGTCTCATGAACTCCCAGATTCCACTTATGTCTAGTTATTCATGGACTCACAACGTTTTGGGGCACATGGATCTTGTAAGCCCCACTTGCTTTCCAAACAGATGCAGCTAGAGCAGACAGGAGACACAGCCCTAGTTAAACTGGCACCTGACAAAGGGGTGGGATTTGCCCCACAGCTCTTGGTCATTTTCAACTGGTGGACATGTCAGCAGGCATGCCAGCAGGTCTCGCACTAGCTAAATAAATGTAGAGGATTCTCCTGATTCAGCCTTATTCCCCTACTGGCCTGCAGCACTCTGGACTGGGGAATCTGCAAAATTGCTTTTCTATCATGACCTCCATTTTGTGACTCTCCTTGGAAGAAAAAATTCCCCAAAATTGATTGCCTGCCTGAAGTTGATTTAATTGGGGCACTTCTGGAGAGCTTTTAGTTTAGTTTAAATGTGGGATGACACCAGTCATGTGACTGTTCTGAGATGGGATTCTGTTTTTTTAGAATGCTGTAAATAGCTAAATCTTGAATTCTAAGAATAAAGGAGTTGGATGCTAGATCATCACAAGATTAACACATGTCATTAATAATTTAATCTTTCTGACCAGGAAATTTCCTGTTTTTACTGTTCACTTTCCCTGTTGAAAGAGCAGAAACTGTATGGATCACATGCAACTAGCAGAGTCCTCTATCACTACCACGCAGTGTGTGTAGTAAACATCACATTTTGCAGCCCAGTCCATCTATGAATCAGGCCCTCGTTCTTGTTTTTGTACTGGCTGCATGCATAACATCCACAAATATCAACAGGTCATTTTTAAAACCCTGGTTGGGTTGATCCCCGTGTTCAACTTTAATTATGGGTTAACAAAACAAGTTGCTTCACTCACATAAAACTCTATACGCAAACAAGCAATATTATGGATTGATAGCCTGCTTTGTATAAAACGCTAAAACCACAAACTCTATCACAAATGAATCAATCAGGGTATATGGTACAAAGCCAATTATTGAGATATGCCTTATTTCTGCTGCTTCCTGTTACAATACCAGTTTTTCACTTCAGTTGTCCATTATGTTGGTAACCAGTTTATTTGGGTGGGACTTCCACTATGTGGGCAGATCAATTGCTTCATAGTGATACAATACTGTGATTCATTATTCTCTCTTTCAAATTGTCTGACATCCACAGGAAGAGATGATTTCTGGCCGAATCCTCTTCTTGCAGTATGTGATACAGACCTTAGAAGATGACTTCCAAAAGATGATCAGGACTGGTGTTCTGCACAGATCCATTGCCAAGGCAGTGCTTTCCTGTGACAAGTGCTTCGGAAATGTCAAGTAATTTGCATTTTCATTCACTGAGCAGAATTCTGGGGCTTTGGGAAAAATCTCTGTTTCCAAATATTCTCTACTGCTTGAATGTATTGCAACAGCAAACTTGCCTGAGCTTTAGCTAAAGCAATGGGGCTGGAAGGTGGGGGAATGAAGCAAATGACAGGTCGGGCACTTCATTCTCTCTCTTTATGGCTTCTTCTACTTCTCTTTTTCTTGTTGTATTCATAGCAGCCTGCCAAATAAGAGACAGACTGCTCTTTTCCAAGGTCTGATTTGCTTGCGTGCAAAGGGCTATGGAATTTAGGATGAGGGCTGCAAGTTCCTTACTGCCCACCTTAGAACCTTATAAAAATATTGTGAAATATTGGACAAAAACTCAACTACATGTGTGAATGGGACTTCCAGGGAAGAAATGACAAAGACAACTGTGGCAGAGTGAAGAGCCAGTGTGTAGACCACGGGTCGGCAACCTGCGGCTCCGGAGCCGCATGCGGCTCTGAGCCATCACCTGCGGCTCCGGAGCCTCCTCCGCCATTTGCAGAGAGAGAGAGAGACAGAGAGGCACTTTCACTTCCCTTCTCTCTCTCTCTCAGGCGGACTTACCTCCTGCAGGGCTCCTGATTGGCCCTGTGCCCGGGTGCCCCACCCCCTGGGAGAAGCGTGGCCAGGGCCTCATGGCCTTGAAGCCTCCCGGGGAAGCCCCGGGATCCCTGATGGGAGCGGCCCGCTGGAGGCTCTGCTGAACGGGACAGCCCTCCCGCAAGCTGCGGCCCAAGGGAGACCAGCCCCTGCGATCCCCAGCCAGCCCAACCATTGGACCCGCTGGCCAGGAAGGCGCACCGGAGTCCAGGCTGCCGGGAAGGAAGAAGGAGATTCAGCAAAGGTAGGAGAGGAGAGCTGCCTCCTGGGGCCCAGCGCTGGCGGCGGCTTCCTTGCCATCCTCTTCCTCCTCCCCTTCTTCCTCCTGTTGCCCCCAAGGCGGCTCGGGTGGGCGCCGGGGCAAGAGGGTTGCCTGGGAGGAGCAGCCGGGCTGGCGGAGGGGCTAGCGGGCCGCGTGGCCCCAGCCCCCACCGCTGCTTCATTGAATGGGCGAAGGGCGAGGCCAAGCAGCGCGGAGTCGCGGCTGGGACGGCAGCAGCCGTTTTCTCGCCCTTCTCCTCTCCTTCCTCCTGCTGCCTCCAAGGCGGCTCGGGCGGGCGCCGGGAGGAAGAGGGGTGCCTGGGGGTGAGCAGCCGAGCTGGCGGAGGGGCTGGCAGGCTGCGCAGCACCAGCCCCCACCGCGGCTTAATCGGATGGGCGGAGGGTGAGGTAGGAGAGGAGAGCCGCCTCCTGGGGCCTGGCGCTGGCGGCGGCTTCCTTGCCCTTCTCTTCCTCCTCCCCTTTTTCCTCCTGCTGCCACCAAGGCAGCTCAGGCAGGCGCCGGGGCAAGAAGGGTGCCGGGGGGGAGCAGCTGGGCTGGCAGGGGCCGCGCAGCCCCAGCCCCCACCACGGCTCCATCAGATGGCGGAGGGCAAGGCCAGGCAGCGCGGAGTCCCGGCTGGGGCGGCGGCTTCCTCGCCCTCCTTCCTCCTGGTGCCCCCCAGGCGGCTCGGGCGGGCGCTGCCTCCACCGCGGCTCCATCGATGGGCAGAGGGCAAGGCAGGGCAGCGTGGAGTACCGGCGAGGGCGGTGGCCGGGCTGGGGATGGCGGGGACACCCGATGATGCTGCCGTGCCTCTGCCGGAGCCGCTGCCTCCCATCCTGCTCCCCTCCCCGCTCGTTTGACTGAGGACGCGGCGGGGTGGCGGCCGGGCCGGGGGCGGCAGCGGGGAACCCCGACGAAGTTGCCGTGCCGCCGCCAACGCTGCCTCCCGTCCTGCTCCCCTCCCCACCCGAGAAAGAGGAAAGAGAAAGAGAAAAGAAAGACAGAGAAAGAGAGAGGAGAGGGAGAGAAAGTTAGAGGAAAGAGGGAAAAGAAAGAGGAAATTGAGAAAGAGGAAAGAGAAAGAGAGAGAGAGAGAGGAAAGAGAGAAAGAGGAAAGAGAGAGAGAAAGAGGAGAGAGGAAAGAGAAAGAGAGGGGGGGAGGAAAGAGAAAAAGAGAGGAAAGAGGGAAAGAGAGGGGGAGAGGCAAGAGAAAGAAAGAAAGGGAGAGGAAGAGGGAGAGAAAAGAGAGAAAGAGGGGGAGCGGGAAAGAGAGGGGGAGAGGAAAGAGAAAGAAAGGGAGAGAAAGAGGGAGAGGAGAGAGAAAGAGGGGGAGAGGAAAGAGAAAAAGAGAGGAAAGAGGGAAAGAAAGAGAAAAAAGATTGAGGAAAGAGAGAGGAAAGAGGAGAGAAAGAGAGAGGAAAGAGACAGAGAGGAAAGAGAGAAAGAGAGAAATAGGAAAGAGAAAGAGGAAAGAGAGAAAGAGGAAAGAGAGAAAGGAAAGAGAGTGAGAGGGGGAGAGGAAAGAGAAAAAGAGGAAAGAAAAAAGAGAGGAAAGAGAGAGGAAAGAGAAATAGAGGAAAGAGAGAGACAGAGAGGCCCTTTTGACATCTAAAATGAAGGTAACAATGCATATATCCTTTTTTACCTTTATTTTATATACACACACACAAACACATACATACATACATACATACATACATACATACAAGGTAAAACAGGATATATGCAGTATATATACATACATACATGTATGTATATATACATACATACATACATACATACATACATACATACATACATACAAGGTAAAACAGGATATATGCAGTAAAACAGGATATATGCATACAAGGTAAAACAGGATATATGCACAAACACATACATACATACATACATACATACATACATACATACATACATACATACATACAAGGTAAAACAGGATATATGCAGATATATCTTCATTTTAGATATCAAAAGGGTTTTGCGGCTCCCAGTGTTTTTTTTTTCTGTGGGAAACGAGTCCAAGTGGCTCTTTGAGTGTTTTGGGTTGCCTACCCCTGGTGTAGACCAACTGCTCATAATTCCTCTCTAGATAAGGAGAGGACTTGAGATCACCCACAAGCGCTTCAGACAGTTGCTTCTCATACAGGGATTGCAAACTCTAAACCTGGTGTGTTTAGAGCTCGGGGAGATGAAGGTAATCACTTCTGGAAACTGCTTGTTAACTTCAGCTTTTACAGTGCCAGCTGAATTTCCTTCAAACCTTAGCAAAAAAAAAAGTTTTAAATAATCATTTTAAGGACATTCTAAACAGAAAAAGAGTGGTTAAAACTATGGTTTTAGAAATCAGATTTTAGATTTTACAGATAAGAGTCCAGATAACTTTAAAATAAGATTTTGGAATTAATTATAAAGAATATTTCCTGTAAGAAAATGCTTTTGTTTTAGATTCTTAAAAAAAACCCAAGAATTTAAAATTTGGACACTAGATGAAATTAAAGGAACGAAAGATTATAATTGAAAGAAAACAATCATGACAACACAGAACAAAGCAAAATACTTGAAGGATATTTTTGAACAACTGATCCAAACGTTAATTTTAATTGTGTCTATTTCTATAGACAGACTTTGTTTAAAAGATGACATGGAAAAGGAACAAGTTCCATCAAATAAAATTGATTTGAAAGTAGATTTAAAATGTCAGGCTACAAGAATGACATGAAAAAAGATGTCACACTGGGCATACAAAAGAGGACCAGCTGATGTCTTAATAATTAAAAGGGTTATACCCAGGGCTTTTTTTCAGCCGGAACGCGGCGGAACCGCGTTCCGGCACCTTTTTCCGGGCCGGCCGCACCGGAAATAGCCCCTCCCACACCGGAAATAGCCCCTCCCAAATTTTACTTGCATTCCTGTTCTCTAAAGGGGCGGTCCTAGGGTTTGATGAGGGCGTGGCCAGGTTTGAGTTCCGCCACCTTTTCTC